TGTACTTGCCTCAACCACTTTCTCTGGCAGCCCATTCCATATACGCACCACTCTCTGCATGAAGAAGTTGCTCCTTAGGTCATTAAGTCTATCCCCTCTAGTTTCCAATTCCCTATCCCTAGGGAAAAGACTATATGCATTCATCCTATCTATGCCCCTCATGATTTTATACATCTCAATAAGGTCACCCCTCATTCTCCTATGTTCCAAGAAATACAGTCCTATCCTGGCCAACCTCTCCCTATAATTCAGGTCTACAAGTCCTGGCAACATCCTCAAATCTTTTTGCACACTTTCCAGTTTAAAATATCTTTCCTATAACAAGGTGACCAAAACTGTACACAATACTCCCAGTGTGGCCTCACCAGCGACTTGTACAACTGTAATGTAACATCCCAACTCCTATACTCAATGCCTCCACCGATGAAGGCCAGCATGCTAAATGCCTTCTTCACCACCTTGTCCACCTGTGACACTGCTTTCAACAAACTACGTACTTCTACTTCTAGATTCTCCTGTTCCACAACACTCCTCAGGAACTTGCCATGTACTGTACAAGTCCTACTTTAGTTTGACTTTCCAAAGTGCAACACCTCACACTCATCTGTATTGAATTGCATTTACCAATCCTCAGCCCACTCCCCCATCTGTTCAAGATCCCTCTAATTTTTGATAACCTTCTTTGCTATCATCGATACCTTCGAATTTCGTATCATCCGCAAACTTACTAATCATGCCTCATACATTCACATCCAGATCATTTATGTAAATAACATATAACTAAGGTCCCAGCACTGACCCCTCTGGCACACCACTAGTCATAGGCTTCCAGTCCAAGAAACAACCTTCAACCATCACACTCTACTTCCTACCATCAAGCCAATTTTGAATCCAATTAGCCAGCTCTCCCTGGATCCCATGCAATTTAGCTTTCATGACTAGCCGGCCTTGTCAAAGGCCTTACTAAAGTCCATATAGACAACATCCCCTGTCCTACCCTTTGTCTTCGTATCAAACTGTTATTTCATTACTGTTTGATTTGCAGGAAGATAGCTAAATATTCTTTTCCCTATTTTCCAAAATGGAAGATAAATTTGAAATAAAATCACAAATTTGCAAAGTTTTTCCACAAATATTTATTCACAAGGCATATTTCTTCAATACAAAACATACTTAATGCAGTTGTAATTCACTGTGGTGCTGGTAAAGTTCAATCTGCATTGTTTCATCCAAGTTAGCTTCCATCCTTCAAATTAATTCATGTGTTTTGGTCCGAATCTTTGCACTGTAAAATAAGATGCTTGAAATAAGTTGTGTTTACAAATTGTAATTACATACCTCCACAATATGCTGTTCTTTATTAATGCAAGGGCAAGTCAGGAGGCTTATCTGATGACAGTGTTCACGACTGAATTTCATGGTCATGATCAGCAAGCCAGACATTCTTCTATTGATCCTCTCCCCATCAGGTCTCAGTGGTCCTGATAGCGTTGTTTTACAGAGTTCCTTTTCAACCAACGAACTAACGCTACCCTAGGTCACCTCACCAGGCCACAGGGACCAATATTTCTATCTACACAAGAAAATTACAAATAATCCCTTTTCAATTACTGGAAACTGTTAAAGATCATTTTCAAATTCAGTTCATTAACAAGTTACAGATTCTACAGACCTTAAGGAAATTACAAATTTTCCTTACAATACTGCTTACAGCTCAAAGAACATCACAACTACTGGAAGTGAAAGGGGTCCTGTTGAATGACAGAATTTCACTTCAAGGAATCACAAACAAATATTTTAAAATCAATTAAGCTATGCATTACATACACTCAAAACCTGCTTCTATCACAATATAAAATATTTCCTTTTAATTCTATATATGTAGTTCATTACCTAGTGCAGTGTTATGTGGCTATTCCAGCTTTTTGGGGTTATTTACAGCAACATAATGATATAAGACAACAAGGAGGAAAAGGGATACCCCCAACATGTTGGCAAAGATTGCCAACTGCACATCTGTGATCATCCTGCAAAATAAAAAGACAAAGACAATCAAATTATAAATAAAGTGTAAGAATACAAAGCTTAGATAGCTCCTCTTCTGAGATTAATATATAGGTATCAAAAAAATTATTTCTACCAAATCTTTTCTGCCACTCAATTAGATGATAAGCTGGTCTATACATCAACTTCATTCATCCATCATTGCTTATTATTCACCCGGATATGTAAAATCATGTGATCACTTCAAAGCTGTTCCAAACAAAGGCTCGACTACACCTATGAACAGGTTTGAGAACAGCTTCTTCCCCATTATTATCAGACTTTTGGATGGTGAATGGACATCTTAAAATGTTAATCATTCTCTGCAGCTTCCTGGCAGCTGTAACACTGCATCTTCCACTCTGTTCTGTTACCCTGATGCACTTGTAGAATATCATCTGTCTGTAAAGCTTGGAAGACAACCTGCTCCTCTGATGCTGCTTGGCCTACTGCGTTCATCCAGCTCTACACCTTATTATCTCTACAATTCATTGTAACTTTGTTCATGTGACAATAATAAATCAAATCAAAACTGAAATCATAATGACTATCAAACAGTATTGCTATGAGTACTGGTGACAATACATTATAAAAAAAAGTTGCCCTTAAAACTAATATGTTTTATTTTTTTTTCAAATACACCTCATGTAATATAAAGAATTGCTATAAGCATTGAAATTTCAATTAGTCCAGATGTTTTGGGGAAGAGCACTATGTTTCCAATTACCTTTCCTGCTTTGATTTCATTCTCAATAGATGATGTTCTTCCAATTTCAAAAATTATGACCCCTGATGTTGTTTTGCCCACCAGAGGAAATATTTGATGTCAGATAATCAGATCTTTTCATAATATACCACAGGTTAATACATGCCGTACTCATAGTTTATCACTTTAAGCTCACAATTCTGGTGAATCTATAGTACGCACCCTTCCAACAGTAACACTAAGATTCAATATCCCTAACTGAATGCAATACTCCAGATAGCATCTGCTCAAAAAGGTCTTTACAACTCAAGCATAACCACCACATCTCTAATTCAAAAAAAATAGAAATTGCTGGAAAAACTCAGCAGATTTGGCAGCATCTATAGAGAGAAAACAGAGTTACTGTATTGAATCCAACGACTTCTTCAGAACTGATAGCACCTGGGAAAGGATGGTATTTATGCTGATGACAGGCAGGGTGAGTGGACAGGTAGAGCGGACAGGTAGAGCAGGAGCACAGAGAAAGAGAGAAAAAAAATTTAGGTAGACAGAGAGATTAAGATAATAAGCTAGGGAAGAAAATGATCTAAATGGGAAATACTGGGGCTATGAGGGGTGAAATTATCTGGCTGCACTGAGTGACCCAGATCATGGCAAAACCTGGGGTGAGAGGGTGGAAAATAGACATAGAAGGTGGTGTGTAGTCCAAAATTATTAAAGTCAATATTGAGTACTGAAGGCTGTAATATTGACAAGCAGAAGATGAAGTGTTTCTCTTCCACTTGCATCAAGTCTCGCAGGTGCACTGCAGCAGGACACAGAAACGTTGGCAAGGGAACACAGTAGTGTATTGAAGTGGTGAGCAAGTGGAAGCTCAAGGTCATTTTTAGAGACAGTGCATAGTCATTCTACAATGCAGTAAACCAGTCTGTGTCTCAGCTCCTTGATGTAGAGGGGCCATATTGAATGTAGCAAATACAGAAGGCTAAATTGAGTGAAGTGCAAGTAAGTCATTGCTTCACCTGGAAGGTGTGTCTGGGACCTTGGATAGTACAGAGGAAAGAGGTAAACAGGCAAATATTGCACCTTCTGCAATTGCATGGGCAGGTGCTGCAGATTGCAGATTGTGGGGAGGTGTTGGGAGTGGAGGAGGAATAGATGACGGTGCCTGAGAGGGAATGATCCCTGCAGAATGCTGACAGGGTGGAGAGGGTATAGGAATATCTGGCAGCAGCATCCTGCTGGAGGTGGCAGAAATGGCAGCTTATGATCCTTTGGAAGCAGGTGGTGGTGGGTGGAAGGGGAGGACCAGGGGAATCTATCACGGCTGCAGAAGGGAAGAGAAGGGGTGAATTGTGGGAAATGGATTGGACACAACTCTGAGCCCTGTCTACCATGGTGACAGGAACTCCTCGGTCCAGGAAAAAAGTGGACACTTCTGAGACTTCCCAGCTAACTGGGAATTGGTGGGTTTCTTTAACTTCTCCACTTTTAATGATTTCTGTACGTACACAAAAAAACTCGTAAAGTTATCAAGATTCAATCTCTGCTCCATCGTCACAGACCTCAACACCTGAAATTATTGAGGAACCTCACTCGAACAGTTTTTTCTTAGTTATTAGGTGAGCTACATATTTACACTGTCCATGGACTCGTGGGGCAGAACCTTATCGTAAACAATGAGACCAATCCTAGGATGTCACGTAGTAACAATCTGATTTCTCCTCAGTAAAGCAGCAGCTCCGGCCATCTCTATTATTTACCCATAGCACAGAGCAACTGACCACACATCAGCTGCTTCTCTAAGAACATATTTGATTTCATTTAACCCACTTAGGACGGCATCTACAACAAGAAGAGACCACACTCACCTTCCAAAAGGCTTTATAAATTAGATCACACCAAAGCCACGTCTCTCTCTCCAGGCAGCACGGCCGAACACTACGTGATTACATAAACGCGTTCAGCCACGTGACTCTGATCACGTGCCAGTCTTCCAGCCACCACCCCACAGACAGGGAGGGTAGGTTCCAATGGGAGTGGCTGTGGGACGGGGGTGGGAGGAGGTAGTCAATCACGAGAACAAAATCATTGTTAGTTCTACAAATTACGGACATGTGCTGTCTAAGCAACTGCAACTGAACGCTTGAGTTTATGTGAATCAAAAATAGTCCAATTCAATTTAATTAACCTTCAGCATTTTGAATAGATATTGATGTAAGACTTGTGAAGACATAACTGTTCGTCAGTTGCATTGGTGGTTCAGTGGTAGAATTCTCGCCTGCCACGCGGGAGGCCCGGGTTCGATTCCCAGCTAATGCAATGAAAGTCTATTTTTAAAATATCAGGTTTAGTTAATATATTCCAAATGTAATGACACACAATTTTCACGCGGAAACATGCCTAAGAATGTAATCTATAGTCAAATTAAAATTTTAAAATCACAATAACTGCAGTTTTGCTTTTTGACTTCCTCAGCCCCGAACACTTTTCAAATATTTGGTTTCATTCTGCTAAAAATATGTATTGAGTAAGGAAGAAGCACACCCAAATATACAGGCTAAATTAAAGCTTGAGGTAAAACAAATAGCTATGGATGCTGGAGATCCCAAACAAACAACAACGGAAATTAATGGAGTAACTCAGCAGGTTTGGCAGCATCTGTGGAAAGAAAACAAGAGTTAATGTTTTGAATCAGTGATAGTAGGAACTGCAGATGCTGGAGAATCCGAGACAACAAGGTGCAGGGCTGGATGAACACAGCAGGCCTAGGAGCAGAGAGGCTGACGTTTCGGGCCTAGACCCTTCATCAGAAAAGGGGGAGGGGAAGGGGCTTCTGAAATAAATAGGGAGAGAGTGGGAGGCGGATAGAAGATGGATAGAGGAGAGGATAGGTGGAGAGGAAACAAACAGGTCGAAGAGGCGGGGATGGGGCCAGTAAAGGTGAGTGTAGGTGGGGAGTTAGGAAGGGGATAGGTGGGAGGAAGAACAGGTTAGGGAGGCAGGGACGAGCTGGACTGGTTTTGGGATGCGGTAGGGGGAAGGGAGATTTTGAAACTTGTGAAGTCCACATTGATACCATTGGGCTGCAGGGTTCCCAAGCAGAATATGAGTTGCTGTTCCTGCAACCTACGGGTGACATCGTTGTGGCACTGCAGGAGGCCCAGGATGGACATGTCGTCTGCGGAATGGGAGGGGGAGTTGAAATGGTTCGCGACTGGGAGGTGCAGTTGTTTATTGCGAACCGAGCGTAGGTGTTCTGCATAATGTTTTGAGTCCAGTGACCCTTCTTCAGAACAGATACGTTTTCTAAACAGAAAATAAATTTGCTTCAGAGCATTCAACAACATAGGATGATTGTACTGACCCCTGTCAGTTGTAGTCTCTAGAATTAACAATTTAATTGAAAATTGGTTTACAAGATGTCAAGATTAGGGATAGGAGGTCATTTTCAAATTGGCAATCTGTAACTCTTGGAGTGTCATGGAATCATAGATATCACAGGTATTAGAGATGGTATCTCAACAATTTAAAATCCATGTCAATGACTTGCATGAGTGATTAAATATTTGGTTGCTGATGACTCAAAGACGGGTAGAAGAGTAAGTTGTGAAGAGGGCATAAGGAACCTGCAAAGGGACATAGATAGTTTGTGTGCGTGGCCCAAAATAAAAATGTTAGATAGAGTATCTTGGCAGAAAATGTGAATTTGTCCAGCTCTAGCAGGATTTAAAATAACTCCACAGAGGCCGGTATCCTGTCACCAAATCACCAATCCTTGACTGAGTGCAGTCTCATTCAGAGTCAGGTACGAGAGTATCTGTCTCTGACACTCAACCTTTTTTTATATGTAAGCCAGGGCTCCCTGATTGAACCAGATTAACAGCCCCAATCAGGGAACTCATATTCTAAGACGTCCAGCTGGCTGACCTTGTTACAATCATTACAGATTGGTGGTAAAGCACTCTATTGTTTAAATGGAGAGAACTTTCGCAGCTCATGGTACAAAGGGGTCTGCTATATGAATCACAATGTTATTATACAGGTACAACAAGTCATTTGGAAGTCAAATGGAATGTTGTCCTTTGTTGCAAGGAGAATGAAATATAAAAATGGGGAACTTCTGCTACAGTTGTACAGGGTTTTGGTGAGACCACATTTAGAGTACTGTGTATACTTTAAGTGTCCTTACTTATGAAAGGTTATAATTAAAAGAGAAACAGGTGAGTCAACTGATTCTTGGGGTGAAGAGTTTTATTAAGAGAAAAGGTTGAATGGGTTGAGCCTGTATCTGTTAGAGTCTAGAAGATTGAATTGGGATCCTATTGAAACATCAGATCCTGTATTAATGTTATGGGAGAAAGTAGAAATAGGAAACACAGTTTAAAAATTCAAAATCTTCGCTTTGACACGAAAATGAGGAGAATCTTTTCTCCAGTGACTAATTAGCTTGTGAAATTCTCATCTTCGTAAAGCAGGGGAGATAGGGTCATTGAATATTTTTAAGACTGAGATAGATTCTTGATTAACAAGGGAGTCAAAGAATATAAGGGCTAGGCAGAAAAATAGTGTTAAAACCACAATCAAATTAACCATGGTCTTATCAAATGGCAGCGAAGGCTAGAAGGACCAAAGCCTACTCCTTAACTTTGTATCGTGTATAGCTCAGTGCTGCAGTAGACAATTGATCTTTACTGTCAAAATTTCAGTATTTCTACAGTGAATGATGTGATAAGCACCATCTTAATGGGGCATGTTTTTAGCTTTTGCTAATTCATTATAATATTTTGCCACCAAAGCATTAAATGTACCACTGTGATGAGAAAAGTAACAAAAACAATAAATTAAGAAGAATTCTGCTTCTTGTGCAGCAAGATGGGTACGTATGAATAGGAAAGATATGCAAGTGAACATTATTACAAGTGAACAACTTATCTTCTGTAGGAAGAATTTGGGGATTTGGGAAGATGCAGATTTGACAGTTGATTCATAATAGAAAGTAAATTGGCATCATATTTTGCAATTTTACATGTACAGTGATCTTTATTAAATATTGCTGCTTATGGTAGACAAAGCATTGATATTTTCAATATTAATAAGGCAAAAATTTACACCATTTTAATTGGAATATTTTTCTAATTTACAGTTGGGGTTGTGCTTATTTATTTTAGAATCAAATTTCTCTCAATCTTGAAACATCTGCTTCATTTAATTATTTTGCTTGCCTTACATAAAAATAACAAGCTGGTGGCAGAGCTGTGGAATACAGTGATATGATGTGAACCTTGCCACAGTGAGTTCTCAATTTTAGTAGTGTCATCAGGAGAGATGTGGTTTAGCAAACAATTATTTTCCTGCAGGAGTAAGTGTAATCTTGAAGGTTCGACCTACACCAATCTGCTAGACCTCCTCTAATTACTTCAGCAAACACCTTGGAGCAGGTTAACTGCTTCCCTCACTGTCATCCATTTTATCCAGAAGTCAGAAATAAAGAAAAAAAGTAGAGACAAAATATATTGCACAAAATAGCAAATATACAAATATGTGGTTCCACAGAGAAACATATGCCTGTTCAGATGATGTGGATCAATTGCTAAAACTACATGTACAATTTACACTGCAAAGAAATTTTAAAAAACCTTAGTATTGTTACAATCCATATCAAAATAAATAAATAAATTTAAAAATAAGCTTTAAATTCCCACTGGCCAACTGAAAAGAGTCACACGCAATTTCAAATCTTAGGACTACTGTAGCAAACAAACTGAAATCAACATTGACTAAACTTATTTAGTTGACAACCATCACTCTAAACTATAGAAACGATAACTTTTACTAACCATTACCATAGGTGAGAATTGGCACAATTACCTGCAACAGAATTTGTTAAAAAGAGTAGGCTGTATTTAACTGTTTAAGTGTGAATATGTATAGTATAAAAGTCACACACAGGTAGGTTCCCTTCTAAGTTTTAAAAGAACAGAAAATAGTGTTTATTGCACTTAACTTCGATCAAATAAAAATAAACACTTCAGCTCCCGTTCACACATGCATTCAACAGTTCATACACAAATATATTCAGACACGAATCCACACAATACAGTTAACTAAAAAGTGGGAATATTTTAAAGCTAAAAAGGCAATTTTATACAGATCCTTGAAGACCTGGATGGTTTTAGATTGGACTTTTCTGGATTGTTTTTAAGATAATTTAAAGATATTGATGAACAATTTCAGATTTTTTTCTTTTAGAACAAAGAGCTGCTGGGTAAACATTTAAAAAGCTGCCTATCACATACTATTAATCCAAATAGAGACAGGACACAGGTTTTGAGGATGGTTAGAAAGATAAAGTGTGCCAGCTCAAGGTATTTCTGGTTTTACTGAGCAGCTTTGAAAATGCAGTATCTTAAAGCCCAAAAAAGGACTTGTTTGCTCATTGTATGATTCCAACTTACAAACTGGCCAGTTACCCAAACAGGGCAAGATGATTCTTGGCCCCTTATTTTAAAATTAGTAGGTTACAGCTAGTGGAGTTCCTTTTTTACCCAGGATTTATTGTCAAGGTGATTGAGTCTAATGGCTTCATTCATATACAGCTGAAGGCACAGATTGTGACTGGATATTTTGTGAATGACTTAGGAGACAGATCATTCACACTCATCTCCATTGATTTTCTCTGTTGGGCTACCTCTGGGCAGCGCAACATTTTACTCAAAGTTTTGTAATTTGTAGCCTACAGCTATTTAAATGTTCAGCAATTTTAGGACTTACGGTTTAAGTCACTTGAAATGCGGTTGTTCAGTCTTTTAAAATATAACCAGTGGTTTCAACTTGCCGCTCCCCCATCACAATAAATTTTCAATATATTAACATGACCGACAACCTCACACCATATAGACCTGCATTCCAGCCCTCTTCTATAGAGTTTCAGTCTTTACAGGAAATGGTACCGGGTCACTCCTAGCTTCTGATGGATTCACTTTTCCCTTTTTTTAAACTGAGTCATATCATCCTGAGACCTTTGCCTTTGAGACTCCTGAGGGTTCCAGCATCCTTTTTCCTATCTCCACCAGGTTGAATCTCTGAATGAACTTAAATCTCTACAGGTTTCTTATTTTTACCAAGAGGACAAGTTTTCAGTAGCATTCTGCTTGATAACTGGCAAAGAATATGTTTTCCACGCTACTCAGAATGGGTGCAGCTTCCTTTCTCCATCACCAACAAAAGAGTATCTAACCTTGACATTCAATGGCATCACCATGATTGATTTCCCCACAGTCAACATCTCTGGGGTAACCAATCACTTCCAACACCATCGA